CTTCCTCCAGCGTAGGCGTGGATTATATTATTATTTATATGAATTGCCTTCAGAGCGGCGCGATTAGAGCTTTCCCGCCATTTTTGGAACCGCAAGTTTTCATGTCAACCGGAACTCAAACACCACAGCAGAGAGTATTTTATGCAGCTAATGAATTTCACAAACTTTGCTGGAAGAGAGATTAGTGAATTTCAGAAAAAAGGCTGGATAATTCAATGAAGGCTGGTGGCAGAGCTGCAATCTTGATACTCTATTGTGATTCGCGCTATGATAACCTACGTAATAATTTTCATATGATAGTTATAATTTTTGCACATTCAAAGTACACATGACATAACATAACGCACCCAGATTTGGAAACCATTATTGCTCAAATGAAGCAAAAATAAACAACAGACCATTGACTTATCTTGCAAATATATATATATTCATATTATTTATCACATAACATAATTACGCTCTGTAATTATGCCATATTGACCTAATTTGTATAGTCCATTTACGCGCATTGTTATTAGGTATTGATCGTGTCGATTTTGCTGGCCGGGAGGATGTCGGTAATGTAGTCCCAATATTGGCATGCAGGATCGTACTGTTGACATACAGGTTCATACCCTACTTGCCACAACCAGTCCAGTCATTCATTAGAAGGCACCGATGGCACCTCTAAAGCCATGTTGCCTTCTTTAGTTCTTTAATTCATGTCCGATTGAATTGTAATCTATGAATGAATATTCATTACTGTGCTGACTCTTAGAACCTGAGTCCTGAGTTGACGCGTTAGCAATCTAGTTAACTTGTATCCAACCACAACACAATGCGGATACACGTTTGTGTGTACGGTCAGTGTGATTATGTAATTTGCATTGCCGCGCATCCATATTTAAACTATTTTAGCTTTCTAAAAGTACAGCGCTGTCGGCGCACGGCGCATTTTTTTACCGGCATAGTACGGCGCACCGCGCAGGTCGTTAAAATGACAATATAAATTCCCGTGCACCTGGCACATCTTCCTGACCATGGGAGATACTGTCAAGTATTTCAATGCTAACAGCATCAAAATCCACGCAGAAAAGTAAAATTTTAATAGGTTTTACACTGAAAGTTACGCTCCTAGTCCAAAGAACTGAGTCCGATTTCAAATAAAAAATGACTAAATTGAATCCATCGCGCTTTCTGGCACCTTCTCTCACAGCTGATTGCAGTTGCAGTGCATTTTTTTAGCTTAAGTTGCCAATACGTATTTAATGTAGTTTTCCGTTCCGTTGGTACAAAACTTACAAAACAACCTTGAATTATTGATTGCTAATTTCTTGCATTAGGTTAATTTTTATGATTCAAATTAATCATAGAAGTTGTATCTCCATAATTCTATGCTGAATTAATATTACGCATAGAAGCTTCACTTTCACATACAGGCTAGTGAGGCTACAGTGATACAGATGCCAGCGCTGGCAGCGACAATCAAATGAACTACTTTATTATTTAGTATCTTTACTAATAATATAATATCGTATTCTGTTTACGTCTGGTCTCTTAAAGTGTTCCAGCAACATATTTTCTATTACAGTATTAATGTCACTTATTTGCTTAAATCGCAAGTTGACTAAAAATTTAAAAGCAAAGAATAGTCCACAAAAATTCATATCTTTATAGAAAACGTTTCGGAGTCCAGCTCCATCGTCAAATGTTAACGATCTTGTGTGTGGTTTAAACCGTAATTTTTTCAAATCGCTTTTAGAATTATCAGTTCTTAACTCGTTTTTCATATTTGCTGGCAAGTTTTATAGACAGATTGACGGTTTAGGCATGGGACTACCGCTTGGCCCGACCTTTGTAAATTTTTTTATGTGTTTTTACGAGGTTTCTTGGCTGGCCAATTGTCCTCTTGATTTTAAACCAATATTCTATAACAGATATGTCGATGACACATTTCTAATTTTCAAACATCCCTCCCATGTCAAACCTTTCTTTGATTACCTAAACTCTCAACATAATTCTATCAAATTTACCATGGAGCTCGAATCTAATAATAGTTTGTCAAGGCTATGCATGCTGAATTTGAATTTTTAAGAAATATTTTCTCGCTCAATGGATTTCCGGCAAGTTTGGTGTATACCCAAATCAAGAAATTCATGTCGAAGCGATTTAGTGAGGTTGCTCCCGAGCGCGATAGTAGGAACGTTATTTTTTGTTCTTTTCCATACTTCGGCCCTGCGTCCGAAGCTATGTCAATAAAGTTAAAAGTCTTGTTCAATAGATACTTTCCTAGCATTAAACTCCATATTGTTCTGGTTAACAGTTTCAAAATCGGTTCTTTTTTTAGATATAAAGATATGCTCCCTGTTCATATGCGATCGTTCCTGGTTTATCAATTTCGTTGTGCACAATGTGCATCTGCGTATGTCGGTATGACTTCACGCAATCTTTATTCCAGGATCGCTGAGCATAAGGGCAGGAGTTATAGGACCGGACAGTTGCTATCGCGCCCCCCTCATTCGGCTGTGCGCACTCACGCCGAGCAGTGTGATGTGCCTGTTTCTGACAGTGACTTTAGGGTGTTAGCTTCTACCTCCGGTACTTCAGATTTGCGTATCTTAGAATCGTACATTTTTAAGCTTAGGCCCAGTTTCAATTCAGCTGTGAGCTCCTATCCCCTTGAAATTGTGAATAGATAGGTTTTTATGCCCTATTACTTGTAAATTTATGTTCTAATTGTGTTCTGTGCTTTCAATTGTATTAACTTGTGACTTTCTATGTATGTTCTAGATTCTACGAACTGACGATGGAGCTGGACTCCGAAACATTTTCTATAAAGATATGAATTTTTGTGGACTATTCTTTGCTTTTAAATTTTTCTATTACTTATTATTTAAATGTCTTAACTTGTGGTGCAGTAAGAAATAGATATTAAATTGTTTGAATACTAATTTACAAGTTGACGTGTCCACACCCAGATGCTAGCGCCAGCAGTGTCAATCAAAGGAACTACTTTATTCTTTAGTATATTTACTATAATAATAACAATATATTATTCTGCTTAGGCACAGTCTCTCAAAATGTTGCAGTAACACATTTTCCATTACTAATTATTTACATTTATTTGTTTGTAGGGCAGCAAAATAGTGCATTTTTTTGTCACAATTGATGTAGCTACGTAGTAGCTACCACGTGTTCTTGTGTGTGACGTCACCGCTACCCATATGTAAACAAAGCAGTGAAGATGGGAGTTTTGCATTGAAATCGATGGTTATTTGTGAATAATATTTTCGATTGTGATATTGACCCTTGACAGTAGTGTCAACATTTGAACATCGAAGTTCTAACATCATGAATTACGAGGTAGAAGTGTAAGGACTGACTCCGACTGAGCAGAGCTAGAATCATGGCTGAGGCTTAACCAATGTCATTGTCATTTTTTACGTCATTGATATCATTCTGGAACCAACGTAAGTAACTAAGGGATTTTCCAGTTTAAATATTTATTGATTAATTTATATCATTTTAGAAACTCCACATATTTCTAAAGGGAGTTGTGATGAGACCATGGGGTCGAACCGTTGAGTTTAGATTGCAACTTGCAAGAGGGGCCCAAGGGCCAAGGGCATGGGGCCTTGCAAAGGGTTAAGACCGCAGCACGGCGGTGGACCGATAAGTACTCACAATAATTCCCTGCCACCATGCTTCAGAGCTCAACTAGCATGCATAAGATATCCATAATAAACTTGAATTTGAATGGTTTGTGAACAAAACCAATCTGTTATACATTGACATTGTAAAAAAATATTACTGGTTCATGTAAAACTTTGGTGTGCAGGCTACAGTTTGGAGAATGCATTGCCTTTTTATGCCATTGTTGACCAAAAACTTTGCCTACAGTGCTCAAGATCCACTGTGCAGAGAGTGGATGAATATTGCAAGATCTTTGGCGACGCTTCAGAAGCAAAATTTACGCCTTCAGAAGATCTTGCCGACACATTTAGATTGAAATTCTAACATTTAATATAGTTGTTTTGTTAGTGTTCAGCCAACTATTTAGAAAAAAATAAGGTTTCCGGTATGTTGGATGGAATGATGGAACAGGATGCAGTGAAGCTTGTCCAGAAATCAGTTGCGATGAGTTCCCGCCAAAAAATGTAAACATCAAGTTTACGATTATGTAGTTGCAGTCACATTAGAGCGGTCAGACTACATTATCACATGTTCAGTTGACACTTGCTGTACAATCGGACTGTTTTTAGGGTAAAATTAGTTATTTGGAGTAACACGTGCATGCAACCTTGTAAATAAGTTCGTGGCTTTTAAATAGTTTTTCATTAATCGGCGTAAATGGCTTTTCATTAAAAATTACCTGGCGACGCATCTTAAAATTACCCGGCAACGCCCAGGGCTTAAAAACCCATATATTGGCGACACTGCATCCACCCTCTGCGCCCTGGCTCAAGATGCATTGCCAAGCCCAAATTTCTGGCTGTCTTCAAGATGCCAGATTTATTGCCAACATAATTTTTATAAAAATATTTACAAAACCAACTTTGATGAGTGCATCTTTGACACCACAGGTATTGCAGTAGATAATTGCAATTTGTGCTGCAATGGAAATTGCCAAATTGTGGATTATACTTGGCAGCCTCATCCAACCAAGTTGAACCAACTGGCAACTGGAAATTTTAAAAATAATGCAGCCCCTGGTGTATCTCCTGATCCTCAATTAGGGCCGCCAAAGATTTTAGAAAATTTTAAATGCAATTATTTTAATCCAATTGTTTGGACAAGATCTTCTGAAGGCGTAAAATTTAGCCACTGATGTGTTGCTAAAGCTCTTCCAATTGGCACGCACTTTCTGCACCCTGGGTGTTTAACAATGGCTGACCCGCCTGCCTGGCTGGTAGAAACACGCAATGCTTTTCATATTTCATCATTCATATAATCTGTGAACCCATCAAAACTTCATCTACTAGATTTTTCTATATAAATCCTAATGTTCTTTTGCAGATATTTTGAGTAATATTCAATTAATTATATAATAGCAATTTTTATTTGAAACAAAGACCGTAATCAAAGCAAAGTGTCTTGCTGATAACTACAAACTTGCATTGCCTGTAAGTTGGGCTCGGTTCAATTGGCTTCTTTCTCCAGGTAAGCAAACTCAGATTGTTCTAGAATTTAATATTTGGTTTTCCTGCCTTCAAGTTTCTACTGAATCTGTGGTTTAATTTGTGCAAATATTAACTAAAAATTTCCTATTACTTTCTAATATCATATCAGCAATAATGTATCATTTTTATCTGGGTTTTCAAATTTGAAATAAAAAATTAATTATTTTGTTCACTTATCACTTGAAATTAACTAATTGCCACTATACATAATATCAAAGTGTTATGTAGAACATTTTTTATTAGCATATTCTACTAACATGCACCTTTCAATTAAAGCTCATTGAAACATTGCAGAATTATGTTCTTGGCTTCATGAGCTAAACTATGCTCAAAAAATATAACTCAGTACTCACTGCAGTGAGTGACAGAGAGCGCATTTTCTCATCGACGAAAACTTGAGGTCACGGACGGACAGACAGACAGACGGACATGGCGAGCACAATAGTGCATTTTTCCATAAATGAGGAAATGCACTAAAAATAGGTACCGTATTGTGGATGTGCATTTGAATTATATATTTATATTCAGATAACAATCACTAAATTCAAGTTCGTTTTCAGAAGAGGTCAGCATGAGTGAGCTGCTGGAGTGTGTGAAGGGGGAGGCTGCCTTGCAGGACCTCAACTGCCTTCAGTTCAACAACGAGCTCATGCATCACCTACGCGTGTGTATCCTTAGTAATATTATGTATTATTATAGTAGTATTATGGACATAGAAGTCCCACACAATGCTGGAGCATACAGTGGGGGGAAAGAAATATTCGTACACTTGAAAAATCGTATTTTAATGTATGTAAGTACACAAACTGAACAGGAGAAGTGATTTATATTATGTATAGAGGCGCATTGTATTCAAAAATAGCATCAATAGAAATTAAATCTCAATGCAACAAAAATTAATGCAACATGTTAACTTCTTCGGGTGAAAAAAGTATTCGTACAAAACAATAAATCCGCATTATTTTAATTTAATACTTGGTTGATTACCCTTTATTCAGCTCAACAGATACCAGTCTATTTCTATACGTCTCGACCAATGATTTGCAGATGCATAACCTGTAGTGCATTAATGAATTAATGCACTACCTGCGGGTTTGCATCCTTAGTACGGTATGTGTTTTGGAGGTGGCAGTCATAGACCATGCTGGAGTGCTGCTATCTTTATTGCCTTTAAATGATGTCATTTATAACTATATATGTTACATTTTTATAACTTGAGCTTAAGTTAATGAGCTTATGCATTGCCTGCAGGTACCTATGCCTTCAATACCTTTCATGAGTTAATTTTTGCCTTGGAAAAATGTTTTCTTCCTGGCACCAGTATATTTATTTTGAATATACTTATTATTTGTATATTTATTTTGAATGGGTTGTCAAATGATGTGGAATTTGTTCATTCATGTCTTGGAAGAGATATTTCTAGAACACATGCATGAGTTGATCTATTTATTTGCATTATTTATAGTCAAATGGGGTAAGACAGGATCGCAGCCTTCATGGGGTAAGAAAGGACCAGCCCATGGTATGCATTCTAATTGCACTAAATTTAATTTGACAAAAGAATATGTTAGAGCAATCATTGCCTGTCATTTCAGTGCCTGTTTCAACCCTCTTCTGCAAATAATGAATTTCTGGCTAATTTTTAAAGAAAACCTATGTGAAGAAGGGTCACAAAATAGTTAACCCTGTTTAGGAAATAAGCTGTGTCTAATGACAAAAGTTTTTTTGGTCAGGTTTGTGGATGTAGGCAAAGGCAGGTAACCTCAAGTAATAAGCAACTTTTGAGACATACTAGGCATTCCTACCTGCTACCATCACTGCCTGACATGTATTCTAAAATGGGGTAAAAAAGGACCAGACATGGGGTAAGACGGGACCATTAAATGATCCTGTTTTACCCCACAAACGGTCCTATCTTACACCACATATGGTCCAGTCTTACACCACAAATGGCCCTCTATTACCCTACAGTATATCAAAAATAGTTTTTAAATTAATATATTATTATGCAGTAACTGGAGTATTTTGGTCGAAATTTTTATCTTTTGCTCACTCTCACCAAATTTCTTTGAAAATTTCAATCTCGAATTAGGCATTATTGCTAAAATACTGGAGTTTCTTGCAAGTTTCTTGGACTTATTATTGCTAGCAAAAGTAAAGTATAAAATGATAATTAACTATGCCAGCTATATAATATCATCCATATTTTTTGCTCAAAAGACTAAATGGATCATATGGCTGCATTTAATGTCAACAAAGTTTTCTCGTGACAAAACCTCCAATGTGACTGATATTAAAGTTGACTTCCCACAACACGAAACAGTAACAAGTGGTTGTTTAATCAAATAATGTGTTTCTGGATTGATAATATTGAATATCAGATTTGTACTTTTATTAGAAACCTTGTAACATAAGAATTACCTGTTGGTCCTTTCTTACCCCAGCCTGTTCCTATCTTACCCCAATGGGGTAAGATGGGACCAGCTCACTTTTTTTAATCTGTACAGAAAACTATGTTAGATGCAAAATGTCTGAGTTGTAGCTTAGAAGCCCATTGCATAACTACACCTTGTGATTGGTTTAGGGTTTTTTAGTTATTCATGGTATAGATGCTACAGGCTTGTTAGTGATTTTGGTCCTGTCTTACCCCATCTGACTATACTTGAAAACTCATCACAAACTTCAGCCATAAACTTATGCATACTTTAGGCATAACAGGCATTTGTTCTTGTGATTAAAATAAAACTTCATTCAATTTAATGAATTTAATGAAGTTCTAGACATCCACATACGTGGCACTTTTTTTGCAGTATTTTGTCCTGGGTGAACTAGGGTGTAAAGACGTCCTGGGTGAACTAGGGTGTAAAGACGTCCTGGGTGAACTAGGGTGTAAAGACGTCTTGGGTGAACTAGGGTTTAAAGACGTCCTGGGTGAACTAGGGTGTAAAGACGTCCTGGGTTAACTAGTGGGGGACATCCCACAGTCTGACTATTAAACAGGATAATTTTTTGTGCAGTTACATATGCGTGCATATTTTAGCTCAAATATAATATAATATAATGCAGAGTATAATATATTTATTCTATTTCAGTACAACAAGCGAGACCTCTCTGGCCCCTCCTCATCAGGCGCCCCCTTCATGGGGGAGCCTCAGCACTACGCCCCCTCCTACGTCAACAACTTCATCAACAACAGCATCAACATCCCTCAGTTCAACAACTATGATGCTGCAAAGCTCTACAAAAACCCAGTCGCCAACGTGAACAACTACATCAACAACAGCCTTAACAACACCATCAATAACAGCATCAATAACAGCCTCAACAACAGCATCAATAACAGCATCAATATCCCCCAGCTGGACAGCTATGAAGGCACGAGCTCCTGTGACAACTCTACCAGCAATGACAGCAACCTTGTCAATAAGAGCCTCAAGATTCCTCAGTTCAATAACTACGAACCCCCGACCTCCCTCGGCAACCCCCCAGCTAATTACGAGGCCGCAAAAGCTTATAAGGAGCCCGCAGCCTCTGCAGAAAACAGCTACCAATGTTCTGAGTGTGACTACCGCACTACTACTAAGCAGCTCTTGATGCGACACTTCTCATATAAACACAAAACTGACACAGACAACAAGTATCAGTGTCCGCAGTGTGACTACTCGAGTCGCGTGAAGCAACACCTCCTCAGGCACACACTCTACATGCACTCTTCAGAAAAACCTTTCAAGTGCATGCAGTGTGAGTTTGCATGTGTCACCAAATACAACCTCAAGATGCACCACCTACACAAACACTCCCTGGAGAAACCCCTCAAGTGTTCGCAGTGTCCGTACACTTGTGTCACAAACCAGCAGCTGCGGCAGCACCACCTGCACAAGCACCCAACACAAGATGTACTCAAGTGTGAAGAGTGCGACTTTACTTGCACCAAGAGGCGCTTGCTGGCCAAACATCGTCTCGTTGAACACGAGAAGGAGAAGAAGTTCCAGTGTTCCGAGTGCAAGTACGTGTGTGTTCGCAAACGTCGCCTGGAACAGCATTTTCTCTTCCTGCACTCGCACGAGAAGCCCATACATTGTACGTTTTGTCAGTACTCTTGTGTGACCAAACAGCAACTCAAGAAACATTGTATCCGACAACACTCAACACAGACGGCTGAGGACAACACAGATAATACAACAACAACAACAACCTCCACAACAACACCCACCACACCAACCACAACAACAAGCACAAGTTGAAGTCCCAACATCCGTTGTTCTCCAGACCAGCTGGCGCTGTAGTTATAAATTTAATTCATTCCCATTAACCCATTCAACATATATGGAACAATTCAGAAACGCCCAATGCGTCCAGCACAAGTTGAAGTTGTCTCCAAACCCCTTTTGTCTCCAGACGAGTGTTGTAAATTTGACTCATCCCTTATGAGGGTAAACACTCGTCAGTTTGATACAGCGAGCCCCAATCCGTGGTTAAATCCCTCCGTGGGATTAAATGATCCCATAGATCAATTAATGATCATTGTAAGATTAAATGATCTATAAATGATCATTAAATGATCCTATAGGGTTATGCATGTGTTACCGAGTATTATCCAACCCAGGGGTAAATATGAGTTTGTCGGCGCACTTGACAAGTGGTATTGCCTTTGGGGTCAATCATGTCCATATAAATATATGTTTGTGGTAACATGCCTTTTCTGGCATGTAGACTTGGGTTACATGCCTTTTCTGGCATGTAGACTTGGGTTACATGCCTTTTTTGGCATGTAGACTTGGGTTACATGCCTTTTGTGGCATGCGGTCTTGGTAACATGCCCATCATGGCACGAGGACATATGTAACATGCCTTTTGTGGCATACGGACTTGGGTAACATGCCTATTGTGTTCCCCACAAATGTAAAAATAATATACCATAATATTATCGATAATCACTTAAGTGAACGCACCTTCTTTCTTTCCAAACTATAGCTACCACAATTGGGTCTCAAGCATTGCGCAATTTAAGCAGACTTATTATTTATGATTTTATTTCTACATGAATTTTATGTACTTTTTCTCCACTCAATTTAAACAGTTTTATTCTTAATGATTTTATTGCTACCAGAAATGTGAGTTAATTATTTAGAATAGTGCAATTTAAGATTTATCAACTCACATAGTTATTGACTAATATTCCAACTTACGTTAGATGATAAGAATCTTTACTGAAATAAATAATTTTAATCTATGTCTGGTAGTGCCCTAGATTATGTGCTAGCCTCTAGTTTGGGTCTATGCTCTAGCTAGCTTCTAGTTTGGGTCTATACTCTAGCTAGCTTCTAGTTCGGGTCTATGCTCTAGCTAGCCTCTAGTTTGGGTCTATGCTCTAGCTAGCCTCTAGTTTGGGTCTATTCTCTAGCTAGCCTCTAGATTGGGTATATACTCTAGCTAGCCTCTAGTTTGGGTCTATGCTCTAGCTAGCCTCTAGTTTGGGTCTATTCTCTAGCTAGCCTCTAGTTTGGGTCTATGCTCTAGCTAGCCTCTAGTTTGGGTATATACTCTAGCTAGCCTCTAGTTTGGGTCTATGCTCTAGCTAGCCTCTAGTTTGGGTATATACTCTATCTAGCTAGCCTCTAGTTTGGGTATATACTCTAGCTAGCATGCTAGCCACTAGTTCACTAGTTTGGATCTAGTTCGTAAACAATGTTGAGTAAACTTTAGGTGTCGTCTCTATTTTTCATTATCCTTGCTTGCGCTGTACGTATCAGGTTTGTAGCTTTGGTAACATGTGCACCAGGCATGGGGTGTGAGGTACCACATGTGCACCAATCGTGCGTGTCACGGGTAGAGGTGTTACCGTCGTGCGTGTCACGGGTAGAGGTGTTACCGCTGTGCGTGTCACGGGTAGAGGTGTTACCGTCGTGCGTGTCACGGGTGGAGGTGTTACCACCGCTCCTGTCACGGGCAGAGGTGTTGCCATCGTGCGTGTCACGATTAGAGGTGTTGCTATCGTGCGCGCCCACAATGGTCAAAAAATATTATATAACAATAATAATGGCAATAATGTAACAATATATAACTTATCAACGGCAGTTAACTTAAATTTGAGGATAATTTAGCCGTAACAGATATTGCTCTCTAAAAAAAAGTGTACTGCCAAAATTCACATTATATAGGAAATTGAATTGTTCATGCAATAATTATTTTTCTTATTAAAAGAAGCTACCATAAGATAGCTTATGGTAGCTTCTTTTATGGTAGCTTTTTCTATAGTTTTTCTATAATTGTGGTAGCTTCTATAGTTTCTAATTATGGTAGCTTCTTCTATAGTTATTCAATCCTTTATCAAGTTCTATTAATAAATAATCTATCAAGTTTATACTATTTATTTCGCTGTGTGAATCGTAATAATTATAATGAAAAATAGAGTGGATATAGTTTGCTTGATTAATGAATTTGTTACCCTCAAAAATATCGTTTTTCTATTGATTTTCTTTCATATGAAAAAACATTTTTTGATGATAAACTAAAACTAAATGGTACCGTGAGAATGATGAGGAAAGAAAACTTGAAATCTTGTAATTGGAAACAAAATGCAATTAATTTGTACGTTATAAAATTTTAGGATTATATTCACGCAGTTATATTAAATTAAGCAGTTTTAGTAAATAATACTTGTTCGAGAGCCACAACAACACAAGCTGTGAATATTCTGCGATGTTAAGAAACGGAGGCAGGTCTAACGGCCTAATGAACGATGGCACTGCTTTACTAAATATTAATTTCGTGAGTGATTAAGTTCCACATCGTTGGAGCATCGAGTTGCGGGTTCGAAACCCGCAGCTAACTTAGCTGAAATCGCCGAGAGCACCGCCATCATCACCGCCATCATCACCGCCATCATCACCGCCATCATCACCGCCATCATCACCGCCATCAGCAGTGATTGGACCCAATAACCCTAGCGTCGGTGAGTGCTGCTGTGAGTCAGACGTGAGTCATACGTGCCCTTCACTGCACGTGCCCTTCACTGCACGTGCCCTTCACTGCACGTGCCCTGCACTGCACCTGTCTCTTATACACATCTAGATGTGTATAAGAGACAGGGTGGTACCACATGTGCACCAGGCATGGGGTGTGAGGTACCACACGTGCACCAGACATGGGGTGTGAGGTACCAATTACCAGCCATGTGGTGGTGTGTGGTTCCTCATTATTGTCCCTAATAATAATTAATAACAATGATGTTGCTTATTCGGATCAATATCATCATTTCAGTAACTAATTTTCATCCCATAGTTTGTCCGTTTGTTTTCGATTTTTAATTTGTTTCCTAATTCAAACATTTCAATTTAAGAAATATAATATGTAATTTATGGTCTTTGCTAGACATGGCTGATTAAAATTAATAAACTCGATTTTATTAGCCGCTTTTTTTTACTAAAATTAGTTTAAATGGTTAAACTCTTCCTCAGATTTGATTCTTTACAATGTGTGAAAGACTTTCAACAATTACACTGCAATCTATTGGTTTTTAATAAATGTTAATTAAATATTTATGTAGTTTAATATAGGGAAGTCATATCACCAGCCTATATGAACTTGGAGGCGGATCGGATAAAAATTCATACATTTAATGGCCTCATTGAAATAAAACTTCTACAGGGTGGCGCGCGGTAATTTGCTGATTTGGGAATGAAATAAAAAAATTATGGTCACTAGAAAAATTTATTTGATATTTGAATTATACTGAACGGTAATGGAATTTATAAATTACATGGTTTTAAATAGTGTATCTGGCAAATGTCGACCGTCGCATTCCACACACTACTGTATACGTTTTCTGAAGTTTTCATGAACTCTATCAAGCATGCCCACTGGTATTCAGCCAATTTCAGCTTCAATATTGTTCCTTATGTCTTCCAAGGTGTTGGGGCGGTTGATATACACCGTAGACTTCAGGTAACCCCAAAGAAAAAAATCGCATGGGGCTAAATCTGGTAAGCGTGCTGGCCAGGTCACATCACCCCTCCAAGAGATAAGCCGTCCAGGAAACATTTGCCTCAAACAATTCATGGTAACCCTTGCTGTGTGTGCAGTGGCACCATCCTGTTGGAACCATGTATCCTCTAATTCCATTGCCTCATGAGCTGGCTGAAAATAATCCTGTATCATAGACAAATGCCAAGAGCAAATGATTGCTTCCGAGCAGAGCGTTTCGGAGAGTGCAGTACTGCTGCTCTAACTCTCTCGATGTTTCGTGGTGTTGTAATCCTTCTCTCAGGTCCGTTTCGTAGACATGACACATTCCCTGCTGTTCTGAATGCATTCACCTAATTTACAATTGATTGCCGTCCAGGAACACGTCCGTGTGAAGGAACAGCGAATCGTGAACGAAAATCACGCTGCACTGCAATGATAGAGTGGGCATTTGAAAAATACGCTTCTACACAAAATGACCTCTCCTAACATATCCACTGCATGATGGCAACTGAGAGCCAGACGAATACAAATTTCCCGCCATCCACTGTAAGCAACGTCCACTCTCCTCTGTCTTCGACCGTCAGTGCCGCCACAGCATGCAGTGCAAATAAGCAAATTACCGCGCTCCACCCTGTACTTTACCTAAATTAAAGGTTTCCTATCAACCATATACAGGGGTTGGACAAAATAATTGGAACACCTGATAAAATTTAGATAAACTTTATTTAATACGGAGTTGGGCCTCCTTTAGCCTTCAATACAGCTTCAATGCGTCTGAGAATCGAATCGTACAGCTTCTTGACTTGTTCTATTGGAATTTACAGCCACTCTTCCATCAAAACCTTCTCCAGTTCATCCAGACATGAGGAAGACTCGTCTGAGAACTGAGGACTCGTCTGACTCGTAGGAGGCGGACTCGTCTGAGAAAATTTAGAGACTCGCCTGAGGACTGAGGACTCGTAGGAGGCGGACTCGTCTGAGAAAATTTAGAGACTCGCCTGAGGACTGAGGACTCGTAGGAGGCGGACTCGTCTGAGAAAATTTAGAGACTCGCCTGAGGACTGAGGACTCGTAGGAGGAGGACTCGTCTGAGAAAATTTAGAGACTCGCCTGAGGACTGAGGACTCGTCTGACTCGTAGGAGGCGGACTCGTCTGAGAAAATTTAGAGACTCGCCTGAGGACTGAGGACTCGTAGGAGGCGGACTCGTCTGAGAAAATCTAGAGACTCGCCTGAGGACTGAGGACTCGTAGGAGGAGGACTCGTCTGAGAAAATTAAGGGACTCGTCTGAGGACAGAGGACTTGTAGGAGGAGGACTCGTCTGAGAAAATTTAGGGACTCGTCTGAGGACTGAGGACTCGTCTGAGAACATTACTCGCCTCCACTGGTCTGGAGACCAGGTTTTGTGGTCCTTGCACCACAGCATCTGCTTCTGAATGTTTCCAAAAGCAAGAAGAGGTTTCCTGATAGCGGCTCTTCCATGGTATCCACCCTTATGAAGCTCACGACGAACGGTTTTGGTAGAAACTTCATTGCTGAGATGCTGATTTAACTCTGCACGCACCTTTGTAGCCGTAGATCGCCTATTTTTAGCGCATTTTCTCATTTATGGAAAAAACGCACTATTGTGCTCGCCATGTCCGTCCGTCTGTCTGTCTGTCCGTGACCTCACATTTTCATCGACGAGAAAATGCGCTCTCTGTCACTCACTGCAGTGAGTACTGAGTTATATTTTTTTTCATAATGCGGTTTAATGTTCTTCGATCTCTATCAGATAGCTTTGAGGGTCGACCACATTTAGTGCGATTATTAGATGTTTTCCTCTGTTTTTCGAATTGCGTCATCGTCCTTGATATAGCAGCTCTCGAAAAACCGAAAACCTCAGCGACTTTGGTGATCGAAGCTCCTGTCATGCAAGCACCAACAATTTGCCCTTTTTCGAAATCAGTTATGTCACGCATCTTACCTAATTTTTAAATAAATCTAAAATAGATTATGCAATATACCTGTAATAGTAAACAACATATATTAATTATGTATGTATACCAATATAATGAAACTCTGATGAATATTTTGGACAGAGGAGGATTTTAAAGAAAAGGTACTAACAAGTGTAGTGTTCCAATTATTTTGTCCAGCCCCTGTATGTCCAAACTAAGGTAAATTTATAGCCTTATTAGCAGATCAAATCTTTTCAGTCGAGCATTTATTTAGTGGGTATCATAATTAGCATGTTGCGTTGTCAAGTACAATGCGTCTGTCAGGAATTCCCCAGTTAATAATTGAACTATTAAGTATTATGAAACCGTCGTAAAGGCACTAATTATCGTATTAATTGAGATGTCAATTACAATGCAATAGTCACAAAAGTGCCAATTAACGATTATTTACTCAAGTATATAGTGAAACCTAATTCAAAACTTAAGCATGGAATTCAGTGAATGCATGCGTATGGATAATTAAATACATCGAGTTTTTAGTGCTTCTACTTGTAGGAGTTTGAAGGATAGTCCGCATCAGATTTTATTCAAGAGTTCAAATTATTCCAGCTATTATCTTCTTAATTCTGGTAATTTAAATTTCATGGAACCAATCACTTGCCAAGTTCAACTTTCACATGAGTTTTCCAAAACATCTAGAAGATTATACAAACATTTGATTTTTATAACTAAGTTGATGCGAATTATCAGGTGTAAAAAAATAGTTTTCATGTATTATTTGGTCGAATAAATGGTCTATCACATAT